CTGTCCATTCATCGTATTCAATGTTTGACAAATGGTCAGTTGTGCTAATAATAAGCTGACACGCTGACATATTAAAAGCTACAGACACTTTATTACAGAAGTCCCATCAATCAGTTCTACGAGATCTTCGAATATGTTGGGAGGCCACGTCGACTTTAGCATACGTTGAGGTAAGCTTTGGGCTTATAGATATCTGATGTGATGGAGCTTCGGTGCTTTAGTACTTCGGACATGAGGGACCTCTACCTTCCTCTTAAGGAGCCTTAAGTAGGTCTTCGTTTCTTGGCTGGAAGGACATTAGATGACTAGTGCCTCAGCACTCGCATGACCACGTACAGTTGCATTCTTTGTTGACCTTAACTATGCTGACCTTTCTGCTGACTTGTCAATTGGTTTTATGTCCACTTGGCTACAGAGAGTATGTGGCTGTTCACGTGGAGTGTTGACTTGGAGCCTCTGATTTCGGGGGTAACAAAGATCTAACTCAAATTGTAAGAGTGCCTTATTAGATTATTAACTTGGATTTAAGTTTCATTTGGTTAGCGGTTATTTTTAATGTACGCAATAATTTACATAATGATTTAAATACACACATGACATGATAAGATATGATGGGGTCAAAAATTTTCAACAAAATAATATAAAAAAAACCTCTCTTTTTGACACATCATCTGTATGTATACAATTATATAACTCTATTATGTACCATTAGCATTATTCTTTAGAGAAAGAGCAATAAACGAGGATAGAGATATAGAAATGGTAATTATCTGATTGTTTAAGATTATTTCTAAGATTGTACAATTAATATAGGATCTTTAATTTTGCAATTATTTATGAACCCTATAAATATTATCATACACAACATAGTCATGGCAGTCATTTTTAGTCGAGCCTTTTTATGTTTTTCCTCATCCCAGTCCTTCATACTTCATGCTGCACTCTTGCGCAGAAGGGCCATAGGCAATGTTCATCTATTACCAGAAACAAGTCATTTATGGATGTCATTAGGAGGGCCGTGCAGATCCAGACAAACGACATCATTCAAACATCAGGGTTCAAGTATCTCGAAAACTTCCAAAGTTATCGTAAGGATGACACTGTATAAGGACTATGCAAAGTCAAGAAGTATCTCAATCAATTCAGTTATCTTGATAGTAATTGCAATGAATTCGATGATAAACTAGAGTTTGCAATATCAACTTATCAACTCAATTTCAACCTTATTTCGACCTTAGCACCACTGGAATTCTAGATTCCCAAACAGTGTCACAAATGACGATTCCTCTATGTGGGGGGACCTGACATGTAACAACGTGAATTTTTTTTAACCATTTTAATTTTTGTCATAAACCTTAATCCAAGATGTTATATATTTGTATTGGCTAAATATCATACATTATCATTTTAATTTGGATTTGGATTTGTTTAAAGGGAAATTACAAAAAACAGGTGTTTAAAGATACCTTTTTATAAACCAGGTCCATAGTTTGTATATTCAAAAATCAAGTATCATTTGTATATTTAAATAATATTATAATACTAATAATTCACACAAACCCTAATTCATTTTTTCTCTCACAACCCTCTCTCTCTTTCGTCTCTTCTCCTCGCCCTCGCCCTCGTCCTCCCCCTCCCCCTCCTTATGTTCAACAGCGCGACTCTGCCGTTCGTCACGACACGTCGTAATCAACAGCAGCGCCGCTGCGACGCTGCAGTCGCGATGCAGCGTCACAGTGGCGCTGCTGTTGGTATTAACTTGAAACTGTTTGATAAATGACCATTTCTCATAAAAGGTGAAGAAACAGATAAATTATCTGCCCCAGCCTGTGAATGCTCTTCTCCAAGAAGCATGTCCATGACCAACTCACGACTTTCCCTGCCTTCCTTACAAGAGTACCCCTTTGCATCTGGCAAAGCACCACTTCGCTGTGCTGATTCTTCAAAATCAAAACTCTGCCTTACATCAGATCTAGTGAAGCGTCTCCAATCAGTGCTCGATGATGGGGACTTATCCGCTAGCTGCAACGGTGATGAGTGAATGTCAGATTTCAGACGTCTTTCGGTTGACAATTCCCCCAATTGGCCATCTTCTTTTAGACCAGGTTTCTTCATCGATCTAGATGGAGTTGCCCTCAAAGCTCTTCCTACAGCACCAAAATAATCTCTGCTAGTAGTTCCACTGTACCGAACTCTCTCTTCGTAAGCATAATTTGGGAGCCTGAAAAACAGCATATGGACATAGATTCATGGTGGTGCTAATAGTGGTGATGTTGTGTTCGTGGTGTTGTATTGTTATTGTTGTTGGTGGTGGTGGTGGTGGTTGTGGAGGTGGCGGTGGCTACGGGATGAAGAGTGTTTGTGATTTTGGTTTCGTGATTAAAAATATAATATGTGATCTTAAAATTCGGTAATTTGTAATCAACTATTTTTTATTTCTGACCTAAAAATTATATAATTTGTGACCGTAAAAAAATCTGTGACCAATTAATTTGGAAATCTGTGACGGTGTGACCTATAAATTTTGATCTGTGACCAACTAATTTTGAAATCTGTGACTAACAAATTAATTGCGACCTATAAAATTTTTGAGTTGTGACCATAAATTGTAAATCTGTGACCAGAATGGTCACCGGAATAGTCGCTGGAATAATTGCCGGAATAGGAGCAGTCGCCGGAGAAGAGTGCTGATTGGAATAATCTCTGGAACGGTATGGGTAGTGCATATGGGATGAGTTAATTATATTATATTAGAATTAAATATTTAATAATAAATTGATTTAATAATTTATTATTTCATAAATAAAAATTAAAAAAAAAAAACCNTTATATTAGAATTAAATATTTAATAATAAATTGATTTAATAATTTATTATTTGATAAATAAAAATTAAAAAAAAAACCTGATTTTTGAATTTTCAAACTATAAACCTGATTTTTGAATTGGTGTAAAGTATACACCTCATTTATGCATTTTTTCTTTGTTTAAATTGGTTTGATTATCCTTTTTGAAAGTATTTCTAATTAATTAGTTGCATTTTCAATTTTGCGAGTTGAATTTAGTTAGGGATTTATATTGAATTTATCTGTTAAATTTACAGTATAAATAATTGTATTCTGTAGATCTTATTTGAAATGAGAAGTAGTTGTCCTTCTACAGTAAAATATAAGTAAAAGTGTAAAACAATACATTTTCATTGGTGAGTGTTAAAAATAAGCAAGGAAGGAGTTGCTTTTAAAATAACTTTTTCTTCTCAAAAGTAAGTTATCCAAGCTCGTGTACGGAGACATGAAGTGACTTAAAAGCAACTTCGCTTCTTTTTTACCTTAACCAAAGATGTTCAGGTCAAGAGAAAAGAAAATATAATTCCATATGTTTACTATTTTCCATCAAGTTCCAACTTTTTTCTTGTTTAATAGTCAAATTTTTCTTGACACTTGGTTTCCCTCCCAACTAGGAATGGCAACAGGGCGGGGAGAGGGCCGGTTCCATCAAGTTCCAACTCTTTTCTTGTTTGATAGTTAAATTTTTCTTAGCACTTGGTTTCCCTCCCAACCAGGGATGGCAACGGGGCGGGGGGCGCCCCCCGTCCGCTAAGAAATTTCTCGTCCCGTCCCCGCCCCGTTACCCGTTTAAGGCAGGGCGGGGTAGGTCATTTTCCCGTTTATTNAATTGTCCAACCTCCAATGATGATCAACACAGAGAACAAGAATGACAAATAATATTTTCTTTTCTTATGTTAGTAAGAATAATGAATTATTCAATACAACTTTCAAACCCTAACATCCTATTAATATAAACCCAAGCGAGCTTGACCTGTCTTTTAAACTTAACTCGATTCAATGTTTAATTAGTCAGATTAATTAAATCGGTCCATGAATTAATTAATTCGGACTTATTAATAACCAACCCAATTATTTAATTGTCCAACACTTGTCAATTAATTAATTGGTAAATCTCATTCTTCTAATTCTCTTTTATGTGTTACCCATTATATTCCCAATCATGATACTTAACGATGTCAATTATTATTTTGATCTAATCAAAATCGATAAATTAAAACACCCCTTTTAATTTATTACTAATTCACATTCGTCGTCCAAGATTGACATCTAACAACGTGTCAGGACAATACATATAACGAGAAATGTCATGTAGTGTGACAAAACCAGATTTGTTCGTTTACTGTGAAACTTTAATCATTTCGTGAATATGATTCGATCAATTATGAGATATGGATATGTGTCAATCTCAATTATCGATCATATCTTTTATCCCACTGTTAAGTCAATGTACGTCGAAAACTCTTTTCCGACTTATGAGTTCACCTTGGCCAAGGATTTCATTATCAACTTAANATCCCACTATTAAGTCAATGTAAGTAGAAAATTTATTTTCGACTTATGAGTTCACCTTGGCCAAAGATTACATTATCAACTTAACTAGATAAAATGTAGATTATAATTTCTTACTATCTAAGAGTGACGAATCCTCTGTTGATCATTCACAACCTTCATATGATTATTGACATACCCGAACGATGCTGTATTAGATACCCTTGGCAGAGCAACATCCAACATTACCAAAGTGTGACTGTCCTCATATAAGGTGCTATGATGACTTCAAGTCAAATGACCAATTCTACTACCGAACGTTAAATATTAACCACTGACACTCAGATAGTTATTCATGTGAAATCTTCTAGCGGATCTCCAATGTTTTGTTCTATAACAAAATATACACATGTTCATTCAAATGTCACCACACTTTAGGTTGTGAGATCAGCTATTTACTTCATAAGTAAGAAATGCCACACGTGATGGCCTATCCTAAAAACGATATTTGTATCTCGTTATTACATACGACCATGGACGATTTAATATCCAGTCATATGTAATTTGTATCTCACAATCACTACTCCTTCTGATTAACAAATCACTAAAACTTGAATTTACGGATTCTATTATTTAATTTATTAGAATATTAATTTAATTAAATAATAAATATTGTCATAAATACGCATCGATTATATATATTAAAATTGTTTATATTCAAAATCGTTTGGACCTAAAACATAACACTTACACTATTATCCCCGGTACATGATCATTGAGGAGTTCCTCAACTGTAATGATGATGAAACCGTAATTGTTCTGCCTCTTGCTCTTGATAATGACTATGTACTGGAACATTTTGTGGGTAAGGAAGAAACCCTGAGCAACTTAATTGATCATGGTTTTAAGGAACACGATTTTACCTGAACAAAGCACAGTCCTGCGACCGTGCTGCAGGCAAATATAAACCTAATTTTTCTAGCAATACAGTATATTTTAATTTTATCTCGCCGTTGTGGAAGAAAGCAAAAGTAGTTGTTGACAGAAAGCTATGTGTAGACATATGTTGAAGAAAAAGAAAGAAAATTAGATATAAGTTTGTAGTAGAACAATAATTTATTTTATTAAAGGTTATTTAAGTAGATATGAAAAATACTAAAATTTGTGGTGCATCAAATAGAATTTGTAGTGGTAATATAACTGTCCTAAATAAATAGCGAGTGAAGTGGCTGCATGATTACAAGTGGAGTAGTGGACCCTCATAATAACTCTTTTGACTCATTGTCACTAAAGTCAATTAATTTTACGGTGTCAGTGGCATCCACTCAAGGTGGGATTGTGATGTGTACTAATTTTGTTAAAATATATTGACAATCAAACTCGAACCGTGAGTAATTTAGCAAATGGTCACTAAAGTTTGTGTTATATTTCAAATTGATTCTTTTTTTTTTTTTATTCATTTAGTCAATGAAGCTATATAATGCGATATGTGTGTTAATCCATTTTTGAAAAAAAAATGTTGTTTCCTACTAAACCCACTCCCATTAGCAATGAAGAAAGCTGATAATCGACAATTTGATGAGACGATTCACTTTTTTCGAATATTGTCTAGCCAGATAGTGGTGCTCAATGCCTTCGATTATGTCTTTCTAGTTGGTTTGTAGACTAGTGAACCCCTAACCTAAGTGGGATGAAGAAAGTTATCCTCACTGACGAATTGGTGCTTAGTGAACCTATTAGACTTGGAAGAATGACATTCTACATACACTGTAATCGTTCTAAAGCGAGAAGTGAAGTGTAAATCATATGACGCAACATCTTCCATAACAAATAATTTTCCTTATATCCTAATTCCTATAGTTAGGGAACCATTGCCATGTAAGCAAAAGTTGTTGAAAAACTACAACAAATATCAACTTTAAAAATCCATTGATAGTAACTTCCTAACCATAGGCAAGAAACAAGCGCCAATAGATAGCTCATTGTTGCTTGAGAAAAAAGGTATGGATATCAAACTTCTAGCCAAACCCTTGTTTAGTTTGCTTGTCTTTTTAACTTGCGTTGTATACTTAGTTCTTAAAAACTCATTTCGATAACTTACTTGACTATCGAGTGCAAACGGTAGCCACGCTACGTTTTGGATAGGCTGTTTTTGCCCGCTAATAGGATATTTCCATGTGTGAGGACGATAGGTAAGCAAGGAGGTGGCAATGATTCGTTGACTTCTTGATCTCATCAAATTTTGAGGTTAACAAATTAGTACCGTCGTGAGAATCGAGAACAATATACCACATTAGAAAACCACGAGCGGAAGTAAGTAAAAAGCCTAAGAAGATTTTTGAAAGATGAGTGACAAGCGTGAAATGTGAGTAAAAACGAGATAAATATCATTTCGAATAATGAAGATAGTGATTCAAATTCCAAAAGGTAGTACAAGGATTCAACAGAACAGACTAAGTAGCATGATGCCGCATTAAGTCCTGTAACATGCTATAAAGAAAATTGTCACTAGGATAAACGATTTCTAATGTGGTTGCACCTTTTAGGATCCTCAGCTGAAAATGCCACTCTAAAAGCTTAGGTCGCTAATCAGAATATTTGCCCCCACAAATAGAGGTATAAAAGCTTAGCCATGAACATGTAGTGGACCGATCGCAATCACCACTAACAGTTATAGTTCTAAATAATATCATCCATGCCTACAAAATGATGTTAGGTAATTGCCTCAAAAGTCAAAATTGGAGGATAAAAGGATTACAAATATGACTTTAAGTGGGAAAAAATGTTGGGTAAAGTCATATTTCTTTTTTACTAAGAAATTCATTTCTTAGCAAAAGAAGATGATAAATTGGCTTTCTCTTCTCCACCTGGAAAGTCAAAGGAGGAGGAGAAGTTAGAAT